TCCTCCGCCTCTTCCGCAGCCCCCCTTGCTGCCACGGCGAGTGTGACTCTGGTGAATGCGGCGTGGGAGTTCACTCCTGACCGACTGCTGCAGGTGATGGTTGGTGCAGTGCAGGTAGCAGCGGGAGCAGTTATAAACTGGTGCACATACAAAGGAAACAGCTGCACCTGCAATGTGCCACCCTCCCACACATCTATTCCCCTCCCTCACCCTCTCAGTATCCCCTCTCTCTCCCCCTCTCACTCCCCATCCCTCCCCCCTGCCCTCACACACAACAGTGACGTGACAGTGGCAGCAGTGGTTGATCGGTGTAATGTGGTGGAATTTCTCTAGATTTAAGCTCACTCCCCCTCCTTCCCCAACCCTTCCCCACCCCTCCCCACCCCTCGCCGCCCCTCCCCGCCCCTCCTGCAGCCCTCTCAGACAACACTGACTCTACAGTAGTAGCAGTGGTGGATGTGTCTATGTGAGCAGTAAAGTGCCAACTAGATACATTCTCCCCCTCTCTCCCCCCCAGGCCCTCTCAGACAAAACTGAACCCAGTGGTAGCAGTGGTGGGCCCTTGTTACGTACTGCGAGGAAATTCAACACAGTGACTCAGCACAGTACTGCCCCCCTCTCCCCCCCTCCTCTCCCCCTTCTCCCCCTCTCCCCCCATCTCCCCCCCTCTCCCCCCGTCTCCCCCCAGGCTCTCTCAGACAACACTGACTTCACAGTGGTAGCAGTGGTGGGCCCTCCTTCCCTTGGCAAGTCGTCTCTCCTCAACGCCCTCGCTGCAGCACACATCCCCGCCCATGCCGCTGCTGGTGAGCAAACACCACACCTATGCCACTGCTCAACCGCACTCAACCGTGCTCAACCATTCTCTTCCGCGTTTCCACTCCTCGCATTCCACATTGCTAATCTACCCCTCACCCCACACCGCCGCTTCCCTATCGTTCCACTGCACAAGTCCCCCCTCTCTCGCCTCCTCCTCCTCCTCCTCCTCCTCCTCCTCCTCCTCCTCCTCCTCCTCCTCCTCCTCCTCCTCCTCCTCCTCCTCCTCCTCCTCCTCCTCCTCCTCCTCCTCCTCCTCCTCCTCCTCCTCCCCCCCCCCTGCCCTGCCCACCCCACCCACATCCCATTCCCTCCCCCCCCAGCGTTCCTCTTCCCAACCGCCCGTTGCTTCTCCTCTCCCCTTCCCCCCTCCCCTGGTGTTCCCGGCCCGGTTCAGGTCCCCTGGGGGGCAAGTTTGTGTTGGGGGGCGAGGAGCAGAGCAGGTGCTGGCAGGGCGGCACTGCAGCAACGGTGGTGATTGTTTAGACGACTCTAGAGTCACTCTCCCTTTCCCCTCTCGCCTTGCTCCCTGGAGTGGGTTCAGGCCCTCCAGGCGGGGTGTTTGTGGTGGCGGGCGAGGATCAAGTGCTGGCCGGGCGGCACTGCAGCAACGGCGCTGGCGTTTTAATCGACTCTAAAGTCACTCTCCCTTTCCCCCTTCCCTTGGCTATTGAGTGGATTCAGGCCTCCTGGGCGGCGAGTTTGCGGTGGGGGGCGAGGAACAGAGCAGGTGCTGGCAGGGCGGCACTGCAGCAATGGCGCTGACCTTTTGAGTTGACTCTAGAGTCACCCGCCCTTGCCCCCCTCCCTTTGCCCTTCCCCTGACATGATTCAGGTCCCCTGGGCGGGGTGTTTGCAGTGGGGGGCGAGGAGCAAGTGCTGGCGGGGCGGCACTGCAGCAACGGCGTGGAGGCACACGTGACCGCGGACAGGCTGCTACTCATAGACACTCAGGTGGGTGTGGGTTGGGGGAGAGGGGAGGGGGTAGCTGTCAACCCGTAGGTGCAGCGACGGCATGGAGGCACATGTAACCGCGGACAGGCTGCCACTCATAGACACTCAGGTGCGTGTGGGTTGGGGGAGATGGGAGGGGGTGGCTGCAAACATGTCCACACTTGACAACCCATAGCCATAGTGCAGCAATGGTGTGGTGGAGGCGCATGTGACCACATAGAGGCGCATGTGACCGCATAGAGGCGCATGTGACCGCATAGAGGCGCATGTGACCGCATAGAGGCGCATGTGACCGCATAGAGGCGCATGTGACCGCACAGAGGCTCATGTGACCGCATAGAGGCGTATGTGACTGCATAGAGGCGCATGTGACCGCATAGAGGCGCATGTGTCTGCATAGAGGCGCATTTGACCGCATAGAGGTGCATGTGACCGCATAGAGGCGCATGTGAGTGCATAGAGATGCATGTGACCGCATAGAGGCGCATGTGACCGCATAGAGGCGCATGTGACCGCATAGAGGCGCATGTGACCGCATAGAGGCGCATGTGACCGCATAGAGGCGCATGTGACCGCATAGAGGCGCATGTGACCGCATAGAGGTGCATGTGACCGCATAGAGGCGCATGGGACCGCATAGAGGCGCATGTGACCGCATAGAGGCGTATGTGACGGCATAGAGGTGCATGTGACCGTGGATAGGCTACTGCTGATAGAGACTCAAGTGGGTTGAGGGAGGGCGGTGGTGAGGAGGTCTATCGGATTCATTTCGAGGCTGACCAGGGCGCTGGACATGTGCAGGGATGAACCCAAAGGCCACCACGAATGGTGTGCAGGGCCATGTGGCCATGTGGCCATGTGGCCATGTGGATAGGCTGGTGCTCATAGACATGCTGGTGGGTTGAGGGGTAGGGGAGGTGTGCACAGGGGGGGGGGGGGGCTATCCTATTGGATTCAAACCAAGCCCCACCAAGGCAAGGTACTGCTGCAACGGTGGTGTGGTGTGGAGGCGCGTGTGAGCTTGGGTGGGCTGCCGATGGTAGACCTGCAGGTGTGTGTGTGTAAGGAGAGGGGGTTGTGAGGTGAGGGGGGTTGTGAGGTGAGGGGGGTTGTGAGGTGAGGGGGGTTGTGAGGTGAGGGGGGTTGTGAGGTGAGGGGGGTTGTGAGTTAACTCAGTACTTCCCAACGCACATGAGGTGACTTGTGAGTCCGTGTGTAATGAGTCGATTTTTGAGTCGACTAAAAAATCGACTCATTCCCAACGCACATGAGGTGACTTGTGAGTCGACTCAAAGTCACTTGTGAGTCAACTCAGTCCTTCCCAACGCACATGTAACCATGGGTAGGCTGCTTCCCTTAGACACTCAGGTGTGTGGATTGTGCATGTAAGGGGAGGGGGCGTTGGATTCAAGTCAAGGCATTGCTGCAATAGCGTGGAGGCACACATGCCACATGCCACATGCCACATGCCACTCTGCCGAGATTGTGGCAACTCAAAAGTCCTTCCTTAGATCCACTCTCCTCCACGTCACCCCTGTCACCCCATCAGCTGCGCACCCATCAGCTCCGCACCCCTCCCGCTAGACGTGCCTCGCGCTGATGGCACTGACTGACAGTATGGACGCCATTCCTCGTCCCTCCTCGTGCGCCATCTCTATCCGTTCTCCCTCTCCCTTGCATCCGCTCCCTCCCCCTCCGCGGCCCCGCTCAGCCCATCAACAGCGCGTCGCTCCTTCTGGACGTGGCTCGTGCTGATGGAACAGCCAGCATGGACGTCATTCCTCCCGCTGTTGCTGCTGCGGCTGCTGCTGCGGGTAGTGGCGCGGCTGCTGGTGGGGATGGTGGTGGTGCTGGTGATGCTGCGACCCTGATCAGTGCTGAGATCGCACACACTATTATGGGGCTCCAGGTGAGCACTTTTTGAGGTGCCTTAAAGCTGCCGCTGCTCTAATTATTAGTCACTGCTCTAATCACTGCTGAGATTCTGAGAGTGCACACACAGTCATGGGATTCCAGGTGAGCAAGCACCTGCGCCTTTGGTAGTGTGTTTCCTTTTCTTCTTCTTTTTTTCTTCTTTTTTTTATCTTTTTTTTTTTTGTCATCATTTCTAGTGTTGTTATTCTTGTCACACCCATCATAGTTGTTGCTTACAACAATCAGTCTTTCCATTTGTTCTCACGGACCATGCCACCCTGCGTGAGGAGTCTATTTTTTAGGCGCCTCAAAATCAGTCTTCTCATTTGTACCCACGGACCGTGCCACCCTCTCGACTCTCCCCATGCTCTGCCCCACGCCCACACCTCTTCCCCTCCCTCTCCGCCCCTGCCCAACCAACTCCCTTCACTTTGCCCCTGCTCCCCACCTGGGGGTGTTTCTTTTCTCCGTGTCCCACCTCGTGATCGTGGTGCGCCACGCTCTGTCCCACGCCCACGCCTCTTCTGCTGCACCCCCTTGCCCCCCTCCCCCTCTGCCCGACCACCACCCGTGTGCTCTGCCCCTGCTCCCCAGCTGGGGGTGTTTCTCTTCTCCGTGTGCCACCTCGTGATCGTGCTGTGCGACGGGCTCACCGATCGGGCCACCTGTGATTACATCCAGGCCGTTCAAATGTTGCGCCTCTCCCCATCTGAAAGCCCCTGGGGGCCTTCAAAAGCCGTGGCACCCACAGCTGGTGCTGCTGCCGCTCCCACTGCTGCTGCTGCTGCTGCTGCTGCTGGTACCACTCCTGCTGCAGGCACTGTCAGTGCTGCTGGTGTTTCGTCTACTGCAGGGGAGCAAGGGGACAGTGGCGGTTGGGTGGGGGATGGTTTGGTGCTGGGGAGAGAGGGTGATGAGAGCTTCTGCAGTGATGCTCTGTTCGTGTTTGCGAGGTGCGCAGCGTTGTGATCATTGCATGCTGGTGCACATACACTAGTTAGTTCACCCTCTCTCACTCACTCTCTCACTCACTCTCTCACTCACTCTCTCACTCACTCTCTCACTCACTCTCTCCATCACTAATTCACTCCCTCACCCGCTTGCTTACTTTCCCACAGGTGCATGCATGCGCACACGCAGTCCCACATGCCTGCTCCTTTTCCTCGCATCTCATATGTGTTTCTCGATGCAACAGAGAAGTAGAAGGTTTTGAACCGCGACAACCCTTTGTTTTGCCTTATTTCCTTTCTTGCTTTCTTCGAGTGAACACCACTTGGGTGCCATAGGTCTTTACGTGGCAGCAACTAGAAACGCTTAAGTAACGAGATGACTTTTGAGTCGACTCAAAAGTTATCCACGACAACCCTTTGGTTTGCCTTATTTCCTTTCTTGCTTTCTTCTTTTTAAAGTCAACGCTTACGGATTGGATGGGTCGCTTGAGACTGGTAATCCCTGCTCCTTTTCCTCGCATCTGCATATTCGTCTCTCTATTGGCATATCGGCATTCAACACTCCGACTCCTGGCTCTTCCTGCTGCTCCTTCTCACCCCTCCTGCTTGTCTCTTGAGTAACTTTCTCCCATCTCCCCCCTCTCCTCCCCGCCCCCCTCCCCCCCCCTTGCACCCACACTAGGGTACCCCCATCCGAGCTAACACCGGATCACCTCTCCTCCACTCTCACTCACCTCACCTCCCTCCTCTCGCACACCACTCTCCTCACCCCCCCTTCGCGAATCCTCACACCGCCCCTCCCCTTCACTTCCCCTCCTTTCGCTCCTCCTCCACTCCTCCCCCTCGGGTCCGGTAAGCTAGACGGGTCAGGAGGGGGGACAGGAAGGGGAAGAGGAGGAGGGCGGAGAGCAGGGTATCTGAGAGGGGCGTACGGAGATGGTGAGAGGGGTGGGGCTTATTGCAGGGTTGACTCTGGGAAAGCTGTAGACAAGTGGCAAGAGGGCAGAGAAGCCGAGAGGAGGTCTAGAGAATTGCAGGACAGCACGCGTGACGGTGGTGGTGGCGGTGAGGTGACCTTTGAATCGACTCAAGATGCACCTAGAGAATGGGGGGGCAGCAGTCACAGCACCACACATGGCAGTGGTGGTAGTGAGGACGGCTCTGTTAGCTTCTGGGTGCTCCCTTCTGAGGACCCCTGGGCATGGGCAGAGGATGCTGCAGTGTCAGCAGCGCTGGGAGGAGGAGGAGGAGGGGGGGGAGCGGGGGGAGCAGCAGCTGCAGCAGTAGGAGGAGGAGGCAGTGGAATGGGGTCACTGGGGAGCTACAGACTGGAGCTCAAGAACAAGGTGGGTTGATTGATACAAGGGAACGGATTATCTTGCCGCTCAGCTGCTCGCTCTATGATTCAAGATCGCGTCAAAGCCGAGGGCGAGCTGCTGCTTGTTTACCTCCCCTTTCTTCTCCCTAATCCTCCTCCTTTCCCCCCTTCCCGTTACACGTATGGCAGGGCATGGGAAGGGCATGACAAGGAAGCCGTTATCAGCATGGAAACGTCGCGAGAAATCTCAAAACCCCCCATCTTTTCCTCCTCCCCTCTCCCCCCCCGGTCCCCTCCCCCACCCATGGCAGATTTTGGGAATGCAGAAGAAGCTTTTCCCAGAGCCGATAACAGAGCGGGAGTGGGCGATGAGGGCAGCAGCAGCATGGGGGGGCGTGCGCATGTCGCCACTTATAGCCCAGTTTGCCCATTTCCTCCAAGCCTCGCCACTTTTCCAGCAGCCATAGGGTTATGATTATGTAGAAGACCCAGGAATCATGGATGCGGGCTTGCAAGCAAGCGCGTTACTTGGTGGTACTGTACTGGATTACGGAATGCAATCTTGTTGCTGAAGAATATGGGATGGGGCACAGATAGGTGATCATTATATCATATGGTTTTGTTCAGCGTACTACAACAAATCATACGGTATGCCAATAGTTTACTTATAGATGTACTCTGCGCACTTGACAGTGCAGCCTGTAATATCGATCAGATTGCATCTCCAACAGACGTGAGACCTGCAGAGAACCCCACAAAAAGTGGTTAGAGAAAATAATCAATTTCAGATGAATACGATGCAATATGATGGGGAAGAAGGGGAATGCAAGGCGGACTGCTCAACGAAGGCGAATTCCTCCTCCCACCCGGAGTACAATCCAAGACAGGGAGTACTGAAGGCGAAGGCGCACACTATCAGACGTGGTTCACTATCAGTAGGAGGGCATCTGGCTCACTTACTGCTCGGTGGAACTCGACCTCCTCCTCACAGCCAGAGTACTATGAACAATCCAAGGCAAGAAATGCTGTAGGAGAGAAGGCGCACATTATCAGACGTGGTGGTACGCTACCAGTAGTAGGAGGGGCTCTGGCGTACTCACCGCTCGGTGGAAAGCGAATTCCTCCTCGCGGCCCGACAGCTGGCGTACGGGGAGAGTGGAGGAGGTGGTGAGGGCGGAGCCACCCCCCGCCGCTAGCACGTCCCTCCTCAGGCGACTGCCGCCCACCTCCGACTCGAACTGCAGGCTGGGGGGACAAAGGAAGGAAGAGCGAAGGAACCCCCACCTCACTTTGGAGGGGGGTTTGAGTGTAGGCAAATTCCCCCCCTCTCTGACGACTCCAACCCCACTGCTAGCACGTCCTCCTCAGGCGACTGCCGCCCAGCTCTGATTCAAACTGCAGGCTGGAGAGTGAGTGAAACGAGAATGGGGGAATTAGAGTCACCTGCCACCTCAAATGTGGCACCTCTCTGCAGCTGACATTCTTTCAATTAGAGAGTGAAACGACGAGAATTGGAGGGCAACCGGGGGGGGGAGGGGGGGGGATCCTCCACTCGGCAGGGAAAACAGCCCATCTCAATCAAGGGAAAATCAGAAACGAGAGCAGGTCACAGCACCTTTCGCACCCCCTCAACCTGCCTCCCCATCCATCCTTGGCAAAAACTCCCTCTCCTCACCCTCTCAGTCAATCCCCCCTTTTCTCCTCTTGAGCATCCCTCTTTCTGGTCCACCACCTCCACCTGCCTCACTCATCCCCCCCCCCAGTAGGCATCCCTAAGCAGCCCGTCAGGTCAGGGGCTGCAGGGTCATTGTAGACTACCAGGCAGCGGTGATCGTAGAGCCGACTCAAAAGTCATCTCGCTCTAGCAGGCATCCCTAAGCAGCCTGTCAGGGGCTGCAGGGTCTTTGTAGACTACCAGGCAGCAGTGATTGTAGAGCTCGCAAGTAAGCGCGAGGAAAAAAATACAGCTTCGGGACGAGCAGGAACGGCCCCGCATAAAACCCTACAACCTAGATTTGGTGAAGGCGAGCAGACAGCGGTGGTGATTGTAGCGGTTGTTAATGAGCGCGAGGAATCCGGCGGGCATGGATAACCAAACCATCATTACCTTTCCAAGTTGATCCTTGGAACGAACCCCCCATCCGCATCCATCTCTCCTCGTTCGCTTGGACTTTCCACCCCACCCTCCAGCCCCCTCACCCCCAGTCAGTCCGGCGGTCCCTCAAACAGCCTGTGAGGGTCGGCAGCGGCGACGATTGTAGAGCTCGTCCATGAGCATGAGAGGAAGGGTGCGTGAGAAAAGAAGCACCAAACCCTTACCTTTCAAAGTCAATCCTTGGCACGATCCCCCCCTCCTCATCTCCCTCCCTTCCTCCTCCCCCACCCCCTGCACCACCCTCCGGCCGCCTCACCCCCCTCACCCCTGGCCTATCTGGCAGCCCCTCGAACAGCCTGTGAGGGTCGGCGGCAGCAGTGCAGATGAGCAGGCAGCGGTGGTTGTAGAGCTCGTCTGTGAGCGTGAGGAAGCGTCGCGCCTGGTCGTGGACCGAGCGGGAGAGCACGGGGATGCCGGAGAGGAAGAGCGTGTGGTAGCGCAGAGCCAGGGCGAGGTAGTATGGCGGACCCAGCTGATGGGGGGATGGGGGGGGAGGGGGTTACGGGGGGAAGGAGGGGAGAGGCGAAAGGAGATGGTCGTGCACGGAGCAGGAGAGGGTGGGGATGTTGGAGAGGGAGAGAGTGTGGTAGCGTAGAGCCAGGGCGAGGTAATCTGGCGGACCCAGCTGATGGGGGAGGGGATAGGGGAGGGATGGGGTGGGGGACGGGGGGAGAAGGAGAGAGAAGACGGTTGTGCACTGAGTGGGGGAGGATGGTGATGCCGGAGAGGAAGAGCGTGTGGCAGCGCAGAGCCAAAGCGAGGTAGTCTGGCGGACCGAGCTGGTGGGCAGTGGGACAGAAGGGAAGGTGAAGGGAAAGGAATTGGTCAGTGGGCCCAGCGGGAGAGGGTGGGGATGTTGGAGAGGAAGAGCGTGTGGTAGCGCAGGGCCAGGGCGCGGTAGTCTGGCGGACCCAGCTGGTGGGGGGATGGGGGGAGGGAAGAGGAGGAGATATTGAGGATTGATTGGGAGTGTTTGGGGATGTCCGAGGGGGGTAGAGTGTGGTCACGCGGGGCCAGAGTGAGGTAGTCTGGCGTACCAAGCTGGTGGGGGAATTGGGGGGGGAAGAGGAAACGGAGGGAGAGGGGGAAAGAAGGTGGTAGTGGACTGAGCGGGAGACGGTGGAAAAGGATGCAGTGGGATGGAGAGTGGTAGCACAGAGCGAGGGGGAGGTAGTCTGGCGGGCCGAGGTGATTGGGGGGATGGGGAGGGGAGGGAGATGGAGGGGGAAGGAGGTATGCCGGGAGGTGGGGAGGAGCGGAATCTGGCTGGGGATGAGGTGAAATGGGAGGCAGGTGGGAGAGGATGAGTGAGGTGGGCGGGTCGGATTGGGTGGAGACTTTTGAGTCAACTCAAAAGTCACCTCGTTACAATGTCACACAACACTTTCGCTTCAAGGTGGGAGAGGATGAGTGAGGTGGGCGGGGCAGGCCGGGTCGGATTGGGTGGAGGAAAGAATGAATGACGCCGCTGGGATGCATAAAATCCCCCCCAGACCAGATCGTATAAGCACACATACCATGGTGGCGCACAGCTGCGAGACGGAGAAGCAGGCCAGCCCATGCGGTGACTTTCGATTTGACTCAACAGTCCCCTTTTGAGTCGAGAGCACACGTACCGTGGTGGCGCACAGCTGCGAGAAGGAGAAGTGGGCCAGCCCATGCACAGACACGGGAACATGCAAAGACCTGGCCAGTTGGGTTGGGCACGGAGGGACGGGGGAGGAGGCCAAGGGAGAAGTGTGATGTGGAGAGGACAAGAAAAGGGAGGAGGAGGGTGTGGTGTGGCTAATGCTGTATACAGTTTCGGCATCAGGAAAACGATTCAGTCTGTGGTCGTGTGTGTGTGTGTGTGTGTGTGTGTGTGTGTGTGTGTGTGTGTGTGTGTATGTGTCTGTGTGTGTGTGTGCATGCTCTTATATGTGTGAGTGGTTCAGCGAGACAGGAAGCGAGAGCGAAAGCGAGGGATGGGGCGGCAGCAAGACGAAGAGATGAGTGCGTGAGCGAAAAAAGAGGAAGGTGGGGAGAGGGGGTGGGGGAGAGAGGGGAAGGGGAGGGGTAGGGTAGGAAAGGGAGATGAGGCATGGTCTGACCGTCCAAACATGACGGGAATCTCTTCCATTCCTCCACTCTCCGTGCCCTTGCTCCCCACCGCTCCTTTGACTTCCAGCCGCCGCCTGCCTCCTCTCTCCCTCCTCTCTCCCCTCAACAGCAGCTCTCGTCCAACCGCATCGCGCCACCTGTCCTCTAGAAGACCCTCTGATTGCGGTCCAAGCGGCCAGAAGTATGAGTAACCAGGGAAGGTGGGAACTAGGGGCGTTGAGTAAGGAGGATGGGAGGGAGGGGAAGAGGTGCTGGAGGAAGGAGGAGGAGGAGGAGCGGGAGGAGGGGGAGAGTGAGGGGATTGAGACAAGGAGAGAGGTGGTTGTGATGGTGACAGGGAGGAGATCGATGGAGTATGGGTATTGGAGGTGCGGGTCGGTGCTGTTGGTGGCCTTGGGAGGTCCTGTGCATAGTGGGGAAGAGGAGATGGCAAGAGGGGAGTGTGCCGCTGTCAGGGACGGGGCCGAATTTAGGAGGTGAAGTGAGAAAGGGAGACACGAAACGGCTGTGCCACATGAGGAAAGGAGTAGGTGATTTTTGAGTCGACTCAAAAATCACCTAGGGACGGAAAACACAAGGAAAAAATGGGAAAGGGAAACAGGGGGACAAGAAAGAGACCGAGTGAACACCACTTGGGTGCGATAGATCTTTACGTGGCAGCAACTAGAAACGCTAAGTAAAAAGTTAGTAGAGAGCTTGCTCGAAAACTCTTTTGAAAGCTCTCTACTAACAAGGAAAAAATGGGAAAGGGAAACAGGGGGACAAGAAAGAGACGGGTCATGCCAATATGCGCCCTTGAACACACTGACACTGAATCTTCTCCCACCGACACCTCCATTCGCAGACAAGAAAATGACCCAGCAATAACCTCGATCTCCCAACCCCCCCCCCCACCCCCCCCCCCCTCCTCCTGGAGGTTTTGTGGGGGGGTTTAGAGTCCACAAGAGAAAAGTCTGCACTGTGTATTCGAGGCGCCTCGGTTGAAAGCACATCCATTCCCCCAGGAGTGAGTGAATGAAGCAGCAACGCAGTGCGCCTCATATGCTGAGGGAAGGGGCTCTGAGAGGCGCCTCAAAAGCACATCCATTCCTAAAAACGACAGCAGCAGGGCAGCAGCAGGGCAGCAGCACGGCAGGGCAACTCACGTGGACAGGGGGAGGGGGCGCGGAGTGCAGGCAGCGGTAGTCCGTGGGGGACGAGAGACTGAGAACCCGGCAGGTGCCCTCCATGGTGCTCACGAAGGACTGGAAGAGCTCGCGCTGCAAGCCGTCCTGGTTGAGCTCGCTGGGCGCCTTGTTGCTGGTGGCCACCACCACCACGCCCCGCTCCAGCACGCGCTGCAGCAGGCGGCCCAGGGCCACCGCTGTGAACACGTCCAGCACCTGCACCTCATCGAAGCACAGCACCGCCGCTCCCTGCTGCTCCTCTTTCTGGGGCGTCCTTCCCGCCCCTTCCCCTCGATCTCCCCCTCTCTCTCCCCCCCTCTCTCCCCCTCTCTCTCCCCCTCTCTCCCAGCTCTCTTTCTCCTCCACCGCCTCATCCTCCTCTCTCTGCTGCTCCTCCGCCCCCTCAACCCCCCACTTCCCAAGAAACTCGTCAGCAACAGCATCTAAAATCGCATCCTGCCCACCCTCCTCCTCACACTCACCCTCCTCCTCATCCTCATCCCACTCCCTCTCCCTCTCCCCTTCCCCCAGCCCCAACCCACGGTTCCCCCTCTCTCTCTCACACCTCCTCTGCTTCACCTGCTCCCTCCCCTGCCAATGCCTATGCATGCGTTGATGCACCTCCAGCATAGCCTCGTTAAAATGCACTCTCTTCGCCACCCCCACCGCCCCCGCACCGCTCTGAACCGCTTCAAACAGCATATCCATCAGCATTGTCTTGCCAGATCCCACACTCCCATGCAGATAAATCCCCTGGGGTGCAGCAGGCGCAAGCGGCCGAGGCGGCATCATAGAGTCAAGCGTTTTTTCCAGCTTGATTCGCCTGGCTGTGCGCCCGATTCCTCTCTCCACCACCACCCCTCCCCGCCGTAGCCTCTCGCCTCTGGTTCTGGACCCTTGGGTGCGGCGTTGTCCCTGCCAGTCCAGTAGCGGCGACTGCTGTTGCTGCTGCTGCTGCCACGGGTTGGGCTTCAGGGCTGTGTTGTTCGAGTGCCTTAAGCTTGTGCTCCCCCTGCCTATAAGCCCGTCTAGAAAGCCCAGCCTCTCGCCGCTGCTGCTGCTGCTGCTGCTGCTGGCACTGTTACCAGGGATTCTCCAGGATAGGCCTTGCAAGGGAGCGGGGGTGGAAGCGAGGAGCGAGCGTTGCGCCCTGTAGGAGAGGGATTGGGCAAAGGAGAGATGTGGCTTGGGTCTAGTAGAATAGGTGTGGGTCACGGATGCATGTTCCAAAAGGGAGACTGATAAGAACAGAGCGGGGGAGAGGGGAGAAGGGAGGGAGAAGGACATGGGAGCACACATGGAGAAAAATCCAGCAAGATGGGGAGGGACGGGGCCGGAGTAGAGGGAAAGGTAATGGGGGAAGTGATAGGATGGAGGAGGAGCAGTTTTAACCTGGAGGACGCAAAGTGAGCAACAGCATCTGCCATGCTATTCCACCAGCCAGCCATCCATCCCCACCGCTGCCCCCTCCCCCTCCTCCTCTCCTCCCTCTCCCTCGCCTCCCTCCTCTCTTTCTCCACCAGCTGTCTCCTCAGCACCCTGCGCTGCGCCAGCCAATCACCGAGCGCCACCTGGTGCTCCCGCATTGCTCGGTCGTACCCCGCCAGATGGGCTACCAGGTCATCCATGGCGGCTGCCACGTCAGCCTGACGTGCGTCCCACTTCAGCCGCCCCGCTGCCACCTCAGCTTTGTATTGCGCGGACACGAGGGAACCTGGGATAACAGTTGGGGCGGCATTGATTCTGGTAATGGTAGTGGTGGCGGTGGCGCTGCTGCTGCTGCTGCTGTTGCTGCTGCTGTATTTTTCTCTCGTGGTTATGTGATTGGGGGAGGACCAGGCGGGAAGGAGACGAGGATAAAGGTGGGCGATCCCATGACACAACAGAGCAGGAAGCGAGGATATGCCAGCGGGACTATGCACTATCGTAGTGAGGGGAGGTTGTGAGAGGAGAGCCTCGGGAGTGATTGGAGGACGATGATAATGACGAGGATGATCATAGCGAGGATGATGACGTGGAGCGAAATCTCCCGGGAAAGGCGGAGGGTGAGGGAGAACGGTGATAGTCAACGGTGACGCATGACGCAATAGCGACAAAGGCGATCGGGAGCCACACCAACCGGAGTGACAGTAACGACGGCCGTTGCTACCGAGTCCGTTATAAGCCGCGGGTAAGATCCGCGAGCTGCTGCTGCCTTCCAGCTGGAAATTGGGCCGACAGAGGGTCCTAGACAGTCTAGACAGTCTAGACCGGGCCATTTTGTCCCCGTGCTGGCGTATCGAGCGGCTATCGTGAGTTATTGGCTAGGTTGCGAGGCCATTACTTCAGTCGCGTTGAGACCAGGTGCGTGCGCGACCAACGCCGCGGGAAGAACGGGGACGACCAAGAGTGTGATGTGCTGCATGCAGTGAATACGAGCTCCGTCACATGCAGATATCAAGGAGGATCGAGGAGGATCGAGGTGGCTCCTTGAAGTTACCGCCGATTGGAGCCAGTCTTAGAGTAAGCAGGGCACTGCCAGAGAGTGCCAGCCAGCCAAGCAACTCATATTAATCCCACGCAACTGAAGAGGATCGCAGATTACTAATCCTCTACGGCCTAACTGATCCTGATCATGTGTCAGTGGCAGGGTGGGGGAGGCAGGGGGGACCACAAAATTCTGCGATGACGTCACGCGCTTGATCTTGGAGTCATCAAACCACGGGTTGCCGCGAAGCCTCAGCTTTATCTCTACAGACGACCTCGTTACGGTTATTGCACACAGAAAGGGAGAAAATGTTCAGGATTTAAGTAGAAGTTAAAAAAGCAGAAACTAGGAAGTTGAATTACAACTTCAAGATTGGATGAACCAACAAGCAGCTGCACAATAGCTTATACTACATGATATCACGCAAATTATTCCCCTACAAGGGCTTTGGATAGTGACAATAAACCATCTCCCTTTCCCTCACAAACAAACTCATCCCAGCAACTCTCAAGCCCAAGGCTCCGTCTCAAGTACCTTATCTGTCCCGAAAAGCTAGACCCTCGGGCGTACAACACAAGCCGAGCATTAGCCGCAATGACCTTTTCCACCATGGCTGCCGCATCAGGGGATTCAGCGACTTTTCGGTCGACCCCGGAGGACTGAAAGGCAAGGTCTTCAATCATGTTCATTCTCATCAAAGTGATTCCGTGGACCTCTAAAAGGCGTGAGAGGGTCTCCACCTGCTTCTCGCCTGCATCCGTGCACAGAAAGACGGCGCGGATTTGCCGCCCGTCGAGCAGCGGCCTCTCGAAGGAAGCAAGCCCACCACCATTAGCATTATCACTAGCACCACCATTACCATCAGCAGCACCTGAATCTACTGCAGCAGCACTGCTGGCAGCACGGATTCTCTCCGCCACACACTCAGCAACGGCCGTAAGCGGGAAGTAGTCGGCTGACTTTCCAGGGTTGCTAAAGAAGCGCCCCAGGAAGTCCTTCCTCCGCAAGTGCAGGGCCGCAAAGTCCCGCCCCAGATACTCCTGCATGAACCAAGCAGCAGCATCCACAACAGCAGAAGGCGGCCGAAGGGGCAGACCGCAGGACGTGGGAAGAAACGCCGGCGGCAGGAAGGCAGTGTTTTGAGAAAACTCCAATGTGTGCAATCCAAAGGGGTCCCCAAGGCAAAGGACCCGAGCAGTGACGGTATTCGGAGCAGATATTGCCAGCCTGGATGCCAGGTCAGCAAGCCGACCTTGGGGGAGCAGCATTCTGGAGACATTAGAGGGGAAGGTGATAGGTGTGAGATGGGCAGCGAAGCTGCTGCTGCACTTGCGTAGGTCGGCACAGGCGGAGGGGTCCGGGACCAGCCCACATGCGAGCTCGTCAACCTCTAGAACGCTGCTGTTGTGCGCCTGCAGATAGGTCTCCAGCGTCATCACTCCCGGAACTACTACGCTAGTATCGTTGGCGGGTAGATCTCCTGCTGGGAACTCCGTTGCAGCTGCTCCCGCGCCTGCTGGTCCCTGGTTCGCCCCTCCTACCCCTTTAAAGCACTGCGCCAAGTGGGCTACGTCCATAGTTAGTGCCAAGTCGTAGAGCTTGTGGGAGGGCCCGGATCCCGGGCACACGTCGAGCCGCGGGAGAATAAGCGTGCGATTGAGGAGCATCGCGAGGAAGAGGGTCTTATGCACGCAGAGCTGCCGGTTCGTTAGTTGACCCTGCACGCACGTCGCGAGGAGGAACTTTCCTGGTCGAGGCGCCCAAGGGACGGGACGCGGGAAATCGGAGTCGGTTCCCATCGACGTGCTCCGGGTAACGTCGCTCATATTGACCGGGCAGCGGAGAACTTTGGAGCTGCTGCCCGCGCTGAAACGGAGAAAGGCTGTTGTAGCGGGTGTGATCAAAGCGGAGCGCGACAAGCTCGAGGGGTTTGTGAGGACGAGGAGGAGGAGGAGGAGAGAAGAGAGTAGAGTAACCAGCGCGCAGAGGAGCAGCGGAACCAAGCGCTCGCTGGAGAGATTCGCTGTGAAACGGGCGAAAGTGACGAGTCCTTCGCCACGGCTGGGATTGAGGCTGTTGCTGTTACTGCTACAGCCAGACGCAGCGCCGCGGCTCCCATGGCTTATTTCCCTAAGCGCACTCACGGCTCTCTGACGCCAATCCCCACCAACAACCATGGTGACCCCGAGGAAGGAGGATCGTTAGTCGCTTGGAACGAATCCGAGCACGAGAAAGAACGAGGAGGATCAATCGCCTCAAAGACAGAAAGAAAAAGACACCTGTAGTCCTGTTACAGAAAAACAGCAGCGGAACTACGTATCAGTGGTGGAGTGCGGATCTGGGGAACCACGCCTTCTCGAATCTCACGCACGGTTTGAGGCAGCTACAGCTCGTTCTCTGTTCCGGCCGTTCAGCGCTGGCCGGAAAACGCAGCACGGCCGAAGTTACAACCACGAATAATACACAACCCTGCCGATTCCCGCCTACCACCGATTGCCGATTGCCGATTCCCCACCTAATCCCGCGGCCCGAGGCTGTGGTTCGAGACTCAATGCGCAACTAACTTGCAAACCTGCCGATTCGTCTTCCTTGTCCGCCATTACTGACAGATTGAGGGCCAAGTTTATTGCTGTATGTTATGTGTTGAATAACCGTCGCTGAAGGGGGCAAGGTGTGTGGTGTGGTGCGAATGGGTGTAGAACCTGTCGGGAAGTGGCTGGGCTAAGAAGGTTTCAGCACCGCACTCAAACGCACGCTTACACGCTCGAAAAAACTCCGAACCCCGTCACGTTATCACCGAGAGTTGATAAGGGCGTGGTGCAGCCGTTCCGAAAGCCCAAAAATCCAGACAGAAATCCGGACGGGGTTTTCACAAACGTCCAGTCCGGATCGTATAAGATCAAAACACTGGAAAAGCGCCAACGTCAACGGTGTTAAAAATAGAAGGTTGGTCCGCGAACTTCAACTTTACAGGTTCGGACTAGCGGGTCAAGCAGCGACGCTGACGAATTTTGCGGAGCGTTGCAAGCAAAGAACGGTTTCGCAAAAGCGAAAGTCTAGGAATTGGTGGGTTTGGGAGATGTGACACGCGCTGACCCTGTTTGGTTTCGTACAAGCCTCGCGAACTCCAGGGTGTTTTCGTTGATGTTGTTGAGGAACCTTGACGCACTGAGCCCAACCTGCTCTCGGTAACCCGGACGTGGGTGTCCGGCCCTGACGTACGCAGTTCGGACGTCCTGACCATCCATCTTCTCGCAAGTGCTTTGCGAAATGTCTACAATTTTAGCAAATACAGTAACACAGTCAGTCCGGACGAATTCTCAGCCGATGCAACACGCCCTCAGCGCTTGATCAAATACCAAGGGAAGCCACCACCTGGTTCATGTTGTTCCCCTGGTGCTGCCAAGCGTGCCATGGCCATGCTCTTTGCCTTTACCCGTACTACAAGTGTTTGAATGGGGAAACAAGAGCTGACGAAATCGTCTTAAAGCCGCGGTACACATTCCCTAGAATGTGGTGAACGCTACAGTGTGCGCTCGGTAAGAAAATTGCTGATTGGGCAGCGAAAGTTGCGAAACTGCCAGTGTCTCGTCGAGAGGTGTCATTGCTATCAGAGTAACAGATTGACTAGAATGGAGTGTACAGGGTGAGTTCTTACAAGTGTGTTGTACCCTTTAAGAATATGCACGTATCTAGTATATAATAACATCTGCATATATGTTTAACACACCGTCTAGGCTAGACAAGGGGCAGTGCCTAGCAAGAGACACGCAGCTCAGGGTGGCACTACTAGTCCAACCTCTGAGGCAAGGGTCAGAAGACCAGTCAAAAGAGCACAAACTAGACAAGAGCAAACCAGGGCGGCACTACTAGTCCGGCCACTGGAGCAGAAGGCACAAGGCCAGTCAGGAGAATATATAAAAATAGTACACAATCAAGGTCCTAGCAAGTAAGAAGCTACTGGAACCGGACCAAGCTGTACACAGTGCCGCTGATGATCTTTAGGCGCAAGCGCCTTAATAAATGAATCAGCTATGTTGGCACCTAAGGCCAAGTGTATTACACGGGCCTGGCAGCACTGCTGTAGCTCGCGCATGAGGAAGTACCGCAGCTGGATGTGCTTCATTCAGCCCTCCAGTCGAGGCTCCTGACACAGGAGAATCATGGCCCTGTTGTCAGCGTACAGGACCGGGGCAGAGCTAGGCCGCTCACCTAAATATGTGAGGAAGAAGGTCAGCCAGCGGAGTTCCTGTGCCGCCATGGCACCCGCGTAGATCCCAACCTCACAGCTAGACTAGGCAACAGACGACGAGCAGGTGGACCTCCACGAGATGGCACCTGCACCCAAGGCTAAAGCACTAGCCCTGGGAGGACCTGAGCGCCTCAGCGGCGTCTGCTCACGAAGCGTCTGTGTGCCCTGTAAGGACCACTAGCATGCGTCCTCCTAGCACTACCCCCATGCCCGATGTACTTGCTAGATAATGCAAAACCCTCTTAACGGCCGGGCAGTGCTGCGATTGGTGTCTCCCTGTCGCCACAAAGCGAGCGAGGATGCTGAGAGGGTATGCGAGATCTGGACGAGTGCAAGTCATCAGGTACATGAGGCAACCCACCAGCTATGCGTACGGACCACTAGGCTCTACTGACTCCACAGAGACTGGAGTTGAGAGCCTGGGATCTACTGCAGCGGTGTTGGCTGTGGAGAGGAGAATTGAAGACCGAACCTTTGAATGACCTGGTGCACCAAGTGTGACTATATGAGAGTGATGTGTGCGCTGCTCTGTCCCTGGAGATCTGCAGGCCAAGGTAGCGGCGCATCTCCTAGGTCAGTGCAGGTGTGTCTCCTTAGCAACCCGGCCTTCACGGAGAACAGTGCGTCCCTATCCGCAGTGGCGAAGACCAGATCATCTACGTAGACAAGGATGTAGAACAGTGTCTGGCCTGAACGAACGAAGAGCGACGGGTATGCAGCGAACGAGAAGAACTGCAGGTCAGCTAACGTAGCACGAAGAGTGTCGTGCCACTCTCAAGGTGCCTGCCGTAGGCCGTAAACCGGGCGCTGGAGGAGCCACTCGGTCCCCGGGGCGAAGATGCCGGTAAAGCGTGGCGGGCGGTAGTCCTGCTGATGAAGACTGCCATGAAGAAACGCTGTCGAGAAGTCAAGAGAGTGCAGCTCGTAGTCACGCTGTGCTGCTACGTACAGTAGAGCCCGAAGAGTGGTCATCCTCGGGGTCAGGGCGAAGGTCTGAAAGAAGTCAACACCCTTGCGTTGACTGAAGCCTCTAGCACCATAGTGCGCCTTGAACACCGTCGGCTCTCTAGGAAGGTGCTTCACCTTGAAAAGCCACCAGCCATCAACTACGTTTACCCCAGGTGGGGGGACTACCTCTATGTAGGTGCCGATGGATCTCCAAGATGCCATCTCCGCGTCCATGACAGCTATCCACTGAGAGGCCCATGTCCCGAGGTCGCCTCAGCATATGTGCGAGGGGTCGGGATGTCAAGGGTGTCGAGGTCACCCTCAGGGACTAGCAGCATGGAGCAGAGGTGAGGTGCGGCCTCGGACAGTAAAGCAAGCTCATAATGCCGGTCCTCCAGGACGGCACTGCCAAGTGCAGGAGCACCCCCCACAGACGAAGGACAGGCAGGGTCAGAGACCAGAGCCGTGGCGTAGTCAAGGCGGCGGGAAGAGGCGAAGTCAGCCACAGCAGCGACAAGATCTTCAAGATTGGAGACAGGAATAGACGGGTCAGTAACGAGGGAGGCAAGGACCCGAGGAACAAGAGGACGGGCAGCACGAAGGTAGTCAGACAGAGGGGGAGGCGCGACAGCGACCGATGACAGAGGAGGCGAAGGCAGGAGGGGAGCACGAGACGCATGGGAATGAAGCAACATAGGGTGAGAGCGCTGGACAGGAGAGACAGGACGAGCACGAGAGGGACGGCGAGACCAAAAGTGGGACGAAGGCGTTGGGTCAGGAGACACAGGAGTAGATATAGGAGGAGAACGTGGGGGAAAACGAGCCGGAGACGAGTCTGGCGGAGGAAACGCAGGACCCTAGACAGGCGGCGGAGGCGTAGGCGGTCGGTCAGGGAAGGGAAGACTGAGGGGGCAAAGGGCGGACACCAGTGGCGACTGCTGCTGCTCCATGCCGATACCAGAACCTCCAGCTGCACCACGGCTACCTCCGGGATGCTCCACAACAGCACCCCCAGAACGAGTACCCTCTCCAGCACCGATGCCACCCCCAGGACCGCCGGGACAAGCCTCGACAGTACCCCCAGGACTAACACCCTCCTCATTGCCTGTACCCCCAAAGCTCGCGGACCCCTGCGGCGGCGGGGACGGCAGTTGCGGCTGCGACGACTGCTGCTGCGGCTGCGGTGACTGCTACTGCAGCTGCGGTGGCAATGGCGGCTGCTGCAGCGTCGGCGGCGGTGGAGGGGACAGCGGGGCGGAGTGAGGTGGCAACACTGAAGCTGTAGGGCCCCGGAGTTAGCCGACTCCTCGACCGGGATAAGCGACGGGAAGGGAGTGACGTAAGACACACCAGTCGGGGCAGGATGGGGAGGAAGAGGAGCAGGGGGTATCGGGGGGGTGGGGACAAAAAACAGGGGCGGGGAAACCAGGAGACCTCGGTGGAGAAAGTGGGGGGAGAAGGACACAACCTCGTCAAAAGTTACGTTGCGGGAGTGCAAGAAACGGTGAGACGGCGGGTGGAAAAAGTACTATTCAGACGCGTCGCGGGGGAAACCAAGGAAGACACAAGGGACGGTGCAGGCAATAAGCTTGTTTGTGCTAGAGGCATGAACGTCGAACACAGACGCGTCACCTAGGAACCTGGTCCAGAGAAGGGTCGGCGATACCTGCGGCCACTGGGAGTGTGGCCATAGGTTAAGCTGGTGAGCGGCGTAGCGAACAACGAATGACCACTGAAAATTGCGTGGACCATCATGGATCATGGAGGCACGAGCCACCCCCATGACCAAACCGATGCGTCGCTCAGCAACCCCATTCTGCTACGGGGAGTCCGGCAAGGTGTACGACTGGATGATGCCCGTCGCACGACAGAACTGGCCAAGCCGACCAGAGGCGAACTCGTTGCCATGGTCGGAGTGGAGACGCAGCGTGGGGAGGCCGCAGTGGACTCACGCGGCGACGACCCATGGGATAAGAACGTCAGGAACGTCGGCCTTCCGCTACAGGGAAAACACCGTGGTGTAGCGCGTGAAGTCGTCGAGAAGCACTAAAAAGTAGCGCTCTCGACACAGCTTAGGGACGGGGGCGGGACCCCAAACGTCCAAGTGCAGGGTGTGGAGTGGCACAGTGGTGGGGGGGAGCGAGGAGGAGTGGGGAACATTACGCAGCTAGCCCTTCACATAGGGCGTGCACGGCGGCGCAGGCGAGGGAGAGAGGGCAGGGAGCGACGCAGGGAGACCATGGACATCTGACGCAGACGCAGGAGTGCGGGGTGACCTAGGCAGTGGTGCCACAGCACTGAAGGGTGGGTGAGCGACCGACACGAGCTAGCTGCAGCTACTTGAGAGGACGAAGCGACTTGGGGAGATGCTCCCATCGGGG